GCAGGGAGATAAGGGACAGGTTTCGCATTTACATCCGTAATAGAAGGTTCAACAATTGAGCTAGTCTTACATATCTACAATGGTGAAAGTATGCGCTGTTGCTTTTTTTGATTCTATTAATTTAATAGTAGTCATAACATGTTCCTCAAAAGATTTTCATTTTGCTTTTAAGATCTTATTAATAGATACCCGTATCCGTTCTTCTCGTAACAGACGAAGTTTCGCAGTAGAGAAATGTTCTTAAACAAGCTTCTTTTCCCGATAGTTTTCTTTTTTTTGCATCAGAAACTACAATGAATGTGAAAATCATAGTACTCTACTTTGATTTTAGTATTAATGCTACTTGAAAAAGAGATTTTTTTGAATAGTTAAGCAAGATATTTTAAAAACAATTCTGTGCTCCTTTTCTCTAAACCTGAAATCTAATCTAAACTTGCGTATAACTCAATAGATTTGTAATCTTATGAATAAAATCTGCTCTTCATGTTTTAATATTAAATGAACAAGTTTCCAGAAAATGTGCGACTATACACCTCTACACGACAAGCACTTAAAATCAACAAGAACACAAAAGTTATAATACAGGGGTTCACAGGAAAACAGGTTCGTGTGTGTGCTAATTGGATGGCAGTTATTCCTTACTTGTGTTTAGTTTCTAATTAGTTGATTTTAGGGGACCTTCCATGGAAAGCAAATGATCGAATATGGAACTAAGGTTGTTGGTGGTGTAAACAAGAAAAAGGCTGGAGAACAACATATGGGCTTGCCAATATTCAGGGATGTAAAAGAGGTTAGCATTTTTTGCGCTTGTTGATTCGCATTGCTTCTACATTATTCATCGCAAATTTGGTGTCTAAAATGAGCCTGTTTTCCAATGGTTCTCTTATAATCAAGTCTTTTAAGGCACGAGAAAAGACCGGCGCAGACGCATCAGTAATCTACGTACCTGCTCCATTTGCAGCCAGTGCTATTGATGAGGCGATGGACGCTGAAATTCCTCTTGTTGTTTGCATTACCGAAGGAATACCTCAACAAGTTCGGTTTCGTTGCTCTATTAATCTAACCATTTCTGATTTTGAATCGTTTAGGATATGGTTCGAGTGAAGGATCGACTTGTTAAGCAGAATAAAACTCGACTTGTCGGCCCTAACTGCCCAGGTATAATTACTCCTGAGGAATGTAAGATTGGCATTATGCCAGGACAAATTCACAAGAAGGTCGGAGGACTGCTTCTAATCTTGTTTAAAACTAGCTGCTTTATCACGCTAACAATTTAGGGTATTATTGGTGTAGTGTCAAGATCTGGCACGTTGACTTACGAAGCAGTACATCAAACAACCCAAGTTGGTCTGGGGCAAACTCTCTGCGTTGGTATTGGTGGTGATCCGTTTAATGGAACAGATTTTATTGATTGTCTTAGCATTTTCTTGGAGGATCATCACACGAAAGGTACTAATTACAAATTCCTCCACATTCTTCAGAGAAAGCTTCCTATATGAAAAAGCAACTTTTCAAATCGAGCATAATGTATATGTATGTATAATAAGCATGCAGTGAATTTCCACAAAATGAAATTGAATGTATCTTGAAAAAGGAAATGTTCCCAATTCGAAATGAGAGTAACGTTTTGCAAAATTATAGGTATAATTCTTATTGGCGAAATTGGAGGATCCGCAGAAGAAGAGGCTGCTAAGTTCCTTAAAGATAATAATAAGGTTAGTGATCTCAACTTCAGTAAATCTTACTACATTTTTAAACTTTGATTATCAATTCTTAATATCATTTTCCAATAATTTAATTGCTTGATTACTTAAGTATACTTCTTTTTCATGCTTGCGGTTACATTT